CTCCTCGTTCAAACCGTCTGTCTTCCCTGTCCAACATGTGAGATTTGGCATCTTCAAAGAGTGACCTTTGACCTTCAGATGCAGATGTACAGCTGAGTCCTGTCGAGGTGGCTGTTTGGTGTCTCCAGTATAGAGGTCTGAGCTCTCCTCGCTGCACTGCACAGCTACACTACATTGTTTAGTTTGTGTCTGAGTGTGTGGCTGGGCTAGAAGTACTCTGGGAAGACACTCCTGGCGCAGAGAACTGAAGAAGCTTCTTGGATGAGAGGTGAAACGTCTTCAAGGAACTTAAAGAAGTCCAGACGCTTTTCTTTCCAAGCTCCTTAGACTACGATGACCTGGATGACTGAGAACCTTCACAGACAAGATGCTCCTGGGTTTCTCTGATAAACCTGATACATGAAGGATGACAATGTTGTTCTGTTTGTCTTTCTTATCCTCCCTAACTGGTGTCTGACCTTCTCTCCTCTGCATATTTGCTGACTTGATAAAAGCTCAATTATGATAACCGCATGTTTTAGGAGCTTAATTTACATGTGTGGATTCCCTCTTTTTCCCTTCAGGCTTAGAGGGAACATTTTCTGCCCGGAGTTGTTGTAGAGTCCTGATTACTCCAAGTTTGTGTTCCAGAGGGTGGTGTAAAGTGTAAAGTGTGCGTGTTAGTCCCCATAGGGAAATAGTTCCTCTGCATTTAACCCATTCACCCAGTGAAGCAGTGGGCAGCCACCAGTGCAGCGCCCGGGGAGCAGTGTGTAGGGACGGTACCTTGCTCAGGGGTACCTCAGGGTAGCCGTTCAGTGGAGTCGAACCCCCGACCTTCCGATCATGGGGCCACCACTCTACCTACTGAGCTATCCCTGCCCCTGGTGGGAGTCACACACAGGGAAAACATGCAAACTCTTTACTGAAAGAACCTAATGCCACAGGTGCAATGCAGCAATAAAGAAACACAGCTTTTTCATTAAAAAAAAAAACCAAAACAAAAAACAAACATGCCTTTGTGTAATCTGAAAGAGCTGGACAAGCACAAAGCATCAAACTAGCAATCAGACTTCAGGTGTAGCAGCTATAAGTCTTATAGCCTGATTATTAGGGGTGTGGCAGGGGGATATAACTGTTAGCTAAAAGGAGCTTGCAAAGAAAAGCGTCTGGACTTCTTCAGAACTTCTTCAGTTCTGAACTGAAGAAGTTCATGTGTCTAGTTTGTGTCTGAGTGTGTGGCTGGGCTAGAAGTACTCTGGGAAGACACTCCTGGCGCAGAGAACTGAAGAAGCTTCTCGGATGAGAGGTGAAACGTCTTCAAGCAACTTAAAGAAGTCCAGACGCTTTTCTTTGCAAGCTCCTTTGACTACGATGACCTGGATGACTGAGAACCTTCACAGACATAACTGTTAGCTGTCTTCTAGGCTTCATTTTAACTCAAATTTTATTAATACAGCGCCTAATCACAACAGTCACCTCAAGGCACCTTATACTGTAAGGTAGTAATAGATACAGAAAAACCCAACAGTCATATGACCCTCTATGAGCAAGCACTTTGGTGACAGTGGGAAGGAAAAACTCCCTTTTAACAGGAAGAAACCTCTGGCAAGTAACTGGAGTGCCATGTTTTTTTATACACGAAGAACTTTAATGGCCCTAGAACAGACTACTGAGGAACCTGAAATGTGATCATATTCTGGAGCTTTTCCAGTAAACAGGAACTGCTGACTGGTCAATTAAAATTCTTATTATTCAGTTAAATTTGATATGGTGAAGGAATGAAGAGGGGGTGTTTTGTTTGTTTAATTTGGTTGGTAGAGGGGGGTTTACAGAAACCATACTGGTGTTTGTAAAGAGTTAAATTAGTATGTACATGGGAAAAAAAGAAAAAAAACCTTTTCTAAATAAAAGCTACGCCCAGCGCCTGTATTCACGAGAATACCTGATTTGGCAAATACTTTTCATCAGATGTCTTTCCTGACACAAACTCTAAAGGATCCCTTTTCCAGGATTAAACCAAGATATTGTTTGGTGAATGTGTAAGCCAAAAAAAATGAGTTAAAGTAGTACTTTTGTATGCATTAGAGAGGGTTTACAGTAATTAAAGCAGCATGTATTGTTAAGTTCAGTCTGTTATCTGTGTGTTCATTTTTTTCCTGTCAGGCTGTGTTTTATCAGCTTTGTATCATTATCAGCTCAGACTTCTGCCTAAACATCCAGCATCACTTCGCACTGATGCTGAACAGACTAAGGCCATGTCCACACTAATACGTTTTTGTTTGAAAATGCATCTTTTTCTCTCTGTCCACACTGAGATGGCGTTTTTGGTCAAGGAAAACCGCGTTTTGAAAACGCTCTCCAAAGCAGATACATTTGAAAATCCCATTTTTGCGTTGCAGTGTGGACAGCAAACCCGGAGCCTTTTTGAAAACAATGACACATTTTAGTCATGTGATGCAGTCATGTGACCAATTAAACTAAAATAGCAGAGGGCAATTTACAACAGTTGTTTTGTCTGTTCTCAATTTTGACAGCCCTATTAAAGATTAATATCAGTCTGCACATGCTCCAGAGAGCTTTTCTTCAAATTCTTTAATTCTCACTCGCTTTTTAAACTTTGTACTTGTGTTACTCACAGCAACAACTCCACCTCATTGTTAGTCCTTCAAAAAAAAAAAACCTCTGCTTTTCCTCGACGTTTTGCTGCAACGTTTCAAAGAGCCAGTGTTCTGAGAAACCATCCTACTCTGACAAAACGTCCTACCTGCATTATAATTTTGACAGTGACTTGCAACTAAACCTAACCCTACCCATAACCTTAAGAAGTATTCCGGATGGGTGAGAGAAAAAGAAGCTAATTCGGTGTCTGTGTTGTGCGCATGCGCTGCATCTGCGCAGAAACATTGGGTAGGATGTTTTTTCAGGTAGGATGGATTCCCAGAACACCTGAAAGTTTATAAAAAGAAAAAAAAAGAAAAAAGAGAAATGAGGCAGGTTGAATCTTCTTATTTTTCACGCATGCGCAGAACTGGAATGTAAGCGTTTTTGGCCGTTTCAATGTGGACGCACACCTCTGTGAAAATGGATGAAAACGATAGTGTGGACGCGGAACGTTTTCAAACTAATTTATCTGGGCTAGTGTAGACGTAGCCTAAATCATTTAAAAAAATCAACCGGTTTTTCTCACTTCCTGTCAGATAACTCCTGCTCCACAGGGACCTAAAACTAAGGAGCCAAAATGGCTTCCTTCAAACAAGATGAACTTAAGACCAAGGCCCAGGCTCAGATGAAGGAGGATTATTTGGAACAGAGTCATGCTGAGCTGCTCTAGAAAGCCCAAAAATGAGGACATGAAGGTGGAAGTGAGGAGAACAGTTCTGATGAGTTGTGTCTTTGATACTGTTGGCTGTAACCCCAGAGACATTAATTCAGTCACGGTTGCGATGTCATCAGCATTACTGAACTTTTTAAACTGGAAGTTTATTAATAAATCCTCAGTGTGTTGATCCTATTTTCATGTTAAGACTGAAAGCTTTTAAAACAGTTTTGTTTTTCGTAGTCACGACGGAACGGACAAACTCTTTTATTAAAATCTTTGCTGGGTTAGGATGATGATCCTAAATCTGCCTCTTAGTCTTTTGTAAATAAATGATAAGTAACGATTTTACCTCAGTCATGACTGTAGAAATCTTATAAGCAGTCTTCCCTCTGAGCTTCACTCAGACTCATTAAATCTCATCAACGATTAAAATCAATATGAACACGATGGTTATTAAATGTTGTTAGTGTTGAATGTGTGCCTTAGTACACAGTGTGTGCAGGCTGTGGTGTACAGCAGCATAAATACTGCAGTATGTTGTAGTACCGTCACAGAGTTGCAGAGGATTTTACATAATTAAACATGAACTCGGTGCCTGAGGGCGCAGAGGGTGAATCTGCTTTATTCTGACATCTTCAGCTGTGTTAATGAAAATCACTCATCCGAGCTCACATATTAGCCCGGCTCGGCTCGGCCCGATCCGGCTCGGCCCACTGTGAAGCTGCGCGCATCGTGACAGGCACCCTTAGCTCAGCGGGATTACAGCCGTGCCCGACCGAGCCGAGTAGGGTCAGACCGGGTCAGAACAGACTTCAACTGTCAGGAAAAGATCGGGTTCTTTGGCCGCCTCTCTTACCCCAGCTGCCAGCGGTTCGGCCCAGAAACTCCCCGGTCCGCGGGTTGTAGATGAAATCCTTCCAGGAATCCTGCTTCTCCTCCTTCTTCTTCTCCATTTTCGCTTCATTCGCTTCTTTCTTGTCGTCCTTCTTTTCCTGTTTCTCCTCCTTTTTCTCTTCTTTCTCCTCCGCCTTCACCTCCTCCTTCGTATTATCCTGGTTCTGATCTTGGTTCGGTTCCTGGGTCTGATCCTGGTTTGGTTCCTGGGTCTGATCCTGATTTGGTTCCTGGGTCTGGACCTGCGGACTGGACGACATACCGATGCCGGACTAAACTGATCTGGGCTAATCAAGGCTAAACACCAACAGCTGGGATAAACCGATCCGTCGGATCTACGTGAGGAGCCCTGTACGCGCACGCGCAATCACACACACACACACACACACACACAAGCACATAGGGACTGCTGCAGAACGAGACGCATGCGCAGCACAGAGCATGTGTGAGGGCTGAGGGTCTCCAGTGATAAAGACGATGATGATGATGATGAAGATGCACTGTGTTGTGAGAATAGGCTGAGACCATCATCCATCCATCCTAAAGTCTGTCCCAGCTGTTGTGTGTGTGTGTGTAGGGGGGTTTAATTACAATTAATTCTAATCAGTTAACTCTTACATCCCCAAAAGTTATCGCCAATCTAACCATAACCCTACTATCGTGTGATATGGGTTAATATAATGTTAAGTCACCAGTCAGTCTCTGAAGGACGAGGATATTCAGTGTTTTTGTCAATAAAAAATATGCCTGATAAGCCCTTTCACTGTAATTTTTGTATAAAACAATAAAAATAAGCCCTGAAAGAAAAAAATAAGCTGCTCAGAAATAAATTCATGTCAAACCAACATTATATAATCATGTGACAATTGCAGTGGCAAATAATTGGGCAAAAGCAGGATGATGTCATGCTGTTGTGACACACAGAAAGAAGGAGGAAGCCACCTGAAAAAGAGGAATAAGAAGGAAATAAGGAGCCAGGAAATGCAAGAGGATCTATTCTGTCTCTTTTGTTCAGTGCTTTTTTTCTGTCCTGTTGTAATATTTCACGAATGTGACAGCGACAAACACAGTGGCTCCTGATTTCCTTGCACCTGACTCTCTCTGAGATGATGTTTGCACACTTAAAGTCATGTTTCAGATGTGGAGGAAAACAGACTCAGCAGACACTGAACACTGAATGAAGAGGTTCTGGTTCTAGTAGTGAGAAGGTGGTACATGATATATAAAGACACAAGTTTTATTTGTTTTGGACCTTTGGGTGATGATGGAGGGGTTCATGTAGAACAAAGCAGTCTGAAAAATGGAGCCAAGCCTTAAGTGCTGCCTACCTGATCCAGACTTTTACGTCCTTTCTGGTTTTTGTTTGTTTGTTTAGTATCTCCTGTTATGGGCTTTTATTTTGTGTTTTATACTATTTTGTGGACACTTCCTGCTCCCAGTGAAAGGTGTCAGTAAATGTGGGAGCTGTGACATCACACAATTGTGATAAAGTATTGTGTGGTATCATCTATCTCTCTCTCACACACACACACAAACACACACATTTACACATTAAAAACACGCTGCTCTCTCTCTCATCATTCTTCTTCACCCTCCTTACCCCCCACCCCCACCCACCCTTCAGCAATAGGGGGAGGAGCCAGCAGAGTAAGGATGCTGTCAGGTTGCCGTGGTTTCAGCCTCTCGTTTCTTGTGGCGACCATCGTCAGGGATGTGTGTGTGTGAGGGTGAAGGGTGTGTGAGTGTGACTGTGTGTGTGTGTGTGTGTGTGTGCATTTGAGTGGTGGTTATTCCAACTGTAAGGATATATGAATGAAGAAAGGCGAAGAGGAAGGAAAGGAAGGACGGGGGAGGAAAGTGGCATTGAAGGGTGGATCTGGATTAACGTCGATGCAGACAAAAAAAATCTGTCATTTCCTCTGAGCTGCAGAGATCTGAGAGGACAACAGAAGCCTCATCACTCCATCTTTGTTCCTGTAGAGGGAGGACTGAAGGAGGGAAGGAAGGAGTCGAGGACCAAAAGGGGGAAAGAAAGGAGGACTGAAACAAGGAAAAAATAATAGGAAGCAGGGAAGGAAATAGGATCGAATCAGGGAAGGAGGGAGAGTAGGAGGAAGAGGGAGTCTGAGTCCTTGCTGGTCATCAGGTAAGGCTCCTCATTCAGCTTCAGTGTCATCTTCCTTCATCTCTTCGGTGTTTCTGCTTGTCTCCGAGCTGCTGCTGTTCCCACTGACAGTGTTCAAAATATCCAGTTTCTTCACATCCTTCTCGCCTTTCTGTGAAACCTGAAACGGCTTCAATATGGCTGCCATGTTGGGGTTAGAGTAAGGGAAAACTTCATTTGATTTGCTTTTATTTTGAAGGGGACGTCTGTCAGTCATGAGTAAACAGTGTAAAAACAAAGGTGAACACACCTAAGAAGACAAGGTCAAAGTTCAGATTGGAAGTGATTCTGTGTAAACCGTGTGTGTGTGTGTGTGTGTGTGTGTGTGTGTGTGTGTGTGTGTGTGTGTGTGTGTGTGCGTGCGTGCGTGTGTGTGTGTGTGTGTGTGTGGGAAGGTTCATGCCTAAGTCAAAGAGATACAGCCAAAGACATACTTATCATATTCTTACCCCTGTTTTCTCCCACTATCAGAGAGTTGCTCATTAAGCAGTTATTCTTGCTGTGGATACATCACTGTGTTTCACCTGTGATGGACTACTGACCTGTCCAGGTGTATCCCACCTATACTGGAATAGGCACCACCCCACATGTTCCAAAGTAGGCTAAGGAGTTAAGGATAATGCGTGGAAGGATGAATACATATATGTTAATGGATGGACAGATGGATGGATGGATGGATGGGTGCTTTAGACAGAATTAGTGGATAGAGGCTATAAAATAAAAAACTGGAATAAACTCAACCTTCAGGGTGGTGTTCCCACAGAAATAAATAGGTGGAGCAGCACCGTTATCAACTAAAAATACTCAGTGCTGAACAGTGCCTGTTGTACTGTAGGTAACATGACTTCACTACCATCTGACAGCAGAACAGTTCCTGTTTTGAGCTTCCTGCTGTGAGGAGTATGGTATTCCTGTTTCCTCCAACAAACACATGCTGGTTACGTTAATCTGTGAGCCAGAAGGAGTGTATGGTGGGTCAGAATCTGTAATGAAGCTGTATGTGTTAATGTGGGTGGTGGTGTAAAGGACTGAGTAGTCAGTAAACCTCTCAGGAGGCTGCTACAACTCAGAGTGTGAAGCAGCTCCACCTTGACAGATCCTAAAGGGGAGACCCTGAGTAGCAAATCCGAATCTTTCCCCTCATCCTCTCCTCGTGTCTCCTCTCTCACCCGCTTACAGGATGCATTACATCATTCTCCTGTGAGAGATGCTGCTGTTGCTAGGTTACTGCCAGCTGACTCCCTGTTCCATTTTTAGATGGATGCTGAGAAACAGAGAGGTGGGGGAGGGGATCAATATGGCGAGATGAATTCAAAGCAGTACTTTATTTAAAAGTCAGAGAAACAAATATGAAGCCTTCATGATAAAGATGAATAAAGGTGAGCCACGTTCCTCATAGTCAGATGATTACTTTAATAAATTCATACAATACAATACAAATTTATTTATATAGCTCATTTAAAAACCAACGGTATACCAAAGTGCTTCACAATAAAACAGCAGGTTAAAACATGAATAATATTGTTACAGCTGGGGACCTAAGGACACCGGAAGACACACAGAAATGACACGGAGAAAGCAGGGCAGGGAAACGCTGATTAACGCTGATTAACGCTGATTAACGCTGATTAACACTGAGTTACACAGAGTAATGCAGACGACGCAACGAGGAACACAGGCAGAGACACACCATAAATACACACAAGGTAATGAGGGAATGACACACAGGAGGGGGGCACAGCTGAACCTAATTAGACACAACGAGACACAAACCTTCAAAGTAAAACAGGAAACGCACAGACTGTTTTACAACACAAACTCAGGGACACGAACAGAGCACAGAGGGAAGACACAGGTAGGGCTGATAAACACTGAAGCACTAAACACAAAAACCAAACCTAAGAACTAATACAAAATCAGAATTAACACAAAACACAAGGTGATGCCAAAAGGAAACACAAAACGCTGGGTCAAAATGACCCAGCATCATGACAAATATAAGACCAATAACAAAGTACTGAATATGCTAACAGGTCAATGGCACTAATTACACAAGAATAAAAGTGAATATCAAATCAAACTTGCTAAAAACAGACAGGTTTTAAGTAGAAGAACAAAATAATTACATTTCAAAGATCATATAAAACCTTGGCTGGTTGAAATGAAATGTATCCTGGAATACTTGATGAAGCAGAGACGAGAACACGTGTTTGTCGACAGTGAACTCTCACTCTGTATTTGAAAATAAAAAACGAAGATGTCTGATCTGAACGATTAGAGCTAAAAGTCACTGCTAATGATACTGCTGCTGTTCAGATCCAGATGGCTTTATTAATCCCAGTGTGTTGCAGCTTACCCACACAACCTACCCACATGGTCAACGTCACTAATATAATCACTAATCGCAAATACTGTTGCATGTCAAAGCAGAGATCAACAAGCAATAAGTTCAAGGAAAAATGTATACATTAATAAAATAGCAAAAAACAATTCTTCGTTACGAATAAACAGCTGTTTATTTTATTGTTTGTGCACGACACCTCAAAGAGGACTACATTATCAGCATTCCCCGGTGTCCGGACATTCACAGGTGGGAATCCAAAGACCTAGCTGTGCAGAAGAGAGATGACTAAAACAGAAATCAGTCACAATAATCCAGAAATGTGTTGTTTTTTTGTGGGCAGGCTAACATCACCTGAACTGTCTTGCTTCTGCTCTGAGGCTTCCTGGTTGAACTGAACAAGATGTGAGCAGATGTTACACGAGCCAGCGTTGCTGCTTTCCAGCTTCTAACCAGTCTTAAGGTGGAATTCATGAGTTATACTAAGAATCTTTGGCTTACACTCAGAATGATGATTGACCTTTGATCTAACGGGTGGCCCTGCACCATTCAAACATGATCTGCACTGCCAACAGGAACAAACACTGTGAACTGATTTTCTCTGCTCTTCCTCTCAGGTCATTAGGGAGTCATGACATCACAGGAGGAGGAATCTTCATTCAGGAGGTTTTTCCAATACGTGGAGGACAGTGGACTTCGAATATACGATGGTCTGGTGATCCAAAACGCCTCCGACATTGCTAGAGAGAGCGACCGCATTCGCAACCAGACCAATTGGACCTACCTGCATGAAAAACACCAGAAAAAAAGACGGCAGGAAGAAAGCATCAAGAGGTAGAAAGCATCAAACCTTAAAATGAGACCATGTTGTTTCCTGTAAACTCATCTAAACCGCAATAGAAAACTCTCCAGATCTTTTCTTAAGCACACAGACCTCATATGGGCTTAGATACGGTATACTTCTGGTAAACTGGATGTCTGTGTAGGTACTCAGTCATCCAGGTGATGGTAATCTAAGGAACTTGAAACCAACTGGACTTCTTTAAGTTTTATAAAAGAAGTTTAATTAGGTCTGAGAGAGAGAGAGAGATATTTAGGACATTTTTTTAGTGTTTTAAATGTAAATAAGAGTTTAACACATCACCACTTCAGAAACATTATGAGTGTCTTGTATTTGTTTTACAAGCTGTTGTGTTATCGGACAGTCACACTAACATGATCTCCCTTTGGTGCAACCAGGATTGGTGAGGATGTTGCCGCGGCCTCGGATGGGGCGTACTCTGGGAAACACTTCAGGATGGGTTTCATGACGATGCCAGCTCCACAGGACCGATTGCCCCCAGCCAACCAGGGCTTCACCGTCAGATCGCAGTCCCTCCACTCAGTGGGCGGAGGAGAAGATGACTCCAGCAGCAGCCGCAAACAACCCCCACCCAAACCTAAGAGAGATCCCAACACCAAATTGAGCAGCAGCTCCGAAACTGTGGATGGGGGTGGAGTTACAAGAAGAGACCACCAAGACACCAAAGAGAAGCTAGAACAGGCTGAAGGTGAGTCATTAAAACCACATGTCTCACATGGTGGAGATCTGGGCACCGAAATTAGATCTGCATGTTCAGGACTGATGTTCAGGTGATGGCCACAACAAGGTCTCATTATAAACATTGTTCATGACCTCCTATTGGTCCATGTGGCGTTGTTGAGGATGCTGCCGTGGCCTCAGATGGAAATTATTCGTAAGGAGAGGTTCAATGTGTTTCACTTCACCTGACTTTATTATTAAAGAAGTGTGTGAAGCCTTTTCTTAGACCTTTAAATGAAGACACTGTAGGGATCAGAATCGAGAACCAGTTCTCTAGAAGAACCAGTTCCTAGTAGTTGAATTCTTTGGAATTGTTCAGCTGCTTGTCTCTTGATCCCACCGATCAATTCTTGCACTTGCGCTACAATCAGGTGATTTCAGTTGTAGGAGGAGGAAAAGAGTAGGGCAGTTTACAGCATGCATATGAACAGAACTTTTATTTTTATTGCATTAAAGGACATGAACATGATGGTAAAGTGCAAACTGCATCCAGGACAGAAACAGCTACACTGTGTTGCTAACACAATCTCAGCTCTTTGCAAACACCTGCACAGACAGAACAACACTGCAGCCAAGTGAGCCGTTATTTTGGGGCTGCGGTGAAGCCAGCTGCCAGTGAACTTCATCAGGTAACAAACGGATGAGCAGTCAGGCTGCAGCCTTCGTTTTTACCTGTTATTTGTTTTGTTTTTTAATATAGTTATATTGCACCAAATCCCAACAACAGTTGCCTCAATGTGCTTTATATTGTAAGGTAAAGACAATAATAGTAATAATAGACAATAAGGGTTTTTATCTTTGTTTTGTGCTGTCAGCTTTGTGTTCTTACCTAAATACTAAGAGAACGATCATATGTGTGTCCTCTTTAGGTTAGAGATCTCTGTTGGTGTGTAGCTGTAGCTATAGGTTAATATTGCTAAATGGTGATCATGAGACTCCAAAAATCAGAGCCTTGGCCTGACAAGGTAGCTCTTCTGTGTTGTGCCATTCTCTTAGCCAGAGGTTTGGTTTCCCTGATGTATAAATCCTGCCAATCCTCCTGGCACTTAACGACGTACACTATGTTACTCTGTTTGTGTCGGGGGACCTGATCCTTGGGGTGGACCAATTTTTGGCACAGCGTGTTTTGGGATTTAAAACAAAATGCTACATCCAGATGAACAGAATCAACTTTTGGAGATTTACTTACCTAGATGATTGAGCATGCATCAAGACATGATCATGATCATTTTACTGAGAAATGCAATAGTATTAGTAATAGTAGAATTCCTTGCCCCCTGACCTCAGAAACATCACTTCTTGCCCCCTTTTTAAGTCCACCTATTCAAGATAGCTTACTCTGTATAACTTCTCCATGCTCTTAAACTTTGTGTTATTATTGTGTTCATTTCCTGTTTTTATGCTTGTCTTATTTGTTCTGTACAGTGTCCTTGGGTGTTTTGAAAGGCGCTTTTGTTATGGTCCTGAGTCTGGTGACTCAGTGTTTTGTGTTTCTTTATTATGATCTTGTTTATTCTGATTGTGTTTTCCATTAAGATTTGCCAGGTTTCGTTAGGTTTCTGTTCTGTGCCTGCCCTAGTCCCACTTTTCTGTTTTCCTTGATGTCCATGATGTTATTATGTGTGCTCATGAGTCTGTGTCTGTTAAGTTCTGTGTCTCGTCAGTTTATTCAGCGTCAGCCGTCTCTCCCAGCTGTTTCTTCTTAGCTCTGTTTACCTCTTGTATTTAGTGTCTGCCTCCTGCCCTGCTCGTTGTTGCGTTGCACCCTCACTTTCACTGTGTGTTCTGTTTGCCAGCCTGCCTGCCTGATTAGTTTGTTCTTTATTCTCAGTTTAGTTAGTTTTTTGTTCAGTTGCTTTCCAGCAATAAAGCTGAATATTTTGAGTTACGTTTGCCTCCGTGAGTCCTGTATTTTGGGTCCTCTCTTCCTGCCTGCACACAGTCATGACAGCTTTTACATAAAATGTATTATTATTATTAGTATTAGTAATGTAACCAGTATTGTAAAGAATTACTTACTCCTGGGAGTAATTAAGTTATGTACTGCATTCATTTTAAGAATTACTTTTTTCAGTAATGACCCCGACATGGATCGCAACAAAGAGCAGAAATACCTCCAACATGCACAGTATGTCATTCATGTGCATGAATGTAATGTCTTTGATATGCTGCTTAGAGATGGTGGTGACTTTCATAATGGAGTCAATGAAAACCAAGAAGTAATATCGATAATAGAATCCGATTCGCTAAATTCTTATCAATTCCCATCCCTAAGACTATATTGAAAAGCAGAAGATATTTTTATTGTATCCGTCTGAAGTAATTCTAGTTCTTCTGTCAGTAAGATGACTGAAAAAATGACTGCCCTTGAATTTGAAGTTTAAATAGTTCTCTAAGGAATTTGTAGCTTTCAGAAGGTATGGAAGAAGTGTTGTGACAGTTGTTCGCTCTCTGTCTGCAGCTCAATGTTTCCTGCACTCTGAAGATGCCTCCAAGAAGATGCCTCCACCTAAACCCAAAAGGAATCCCAACACTCAGCTCAGCACCTCCTTTGATGAGTGCTACATCCGTAACCATGGCAACAAGAAGTCTTCCTTGCAGTGGGACAAATCTTCATCCCAAAGTCAGAGTCCAGCATCCAGGGACACAGACGAAGAGGAGCCAGTTTACATTGAGATGGTGGGAAACATCCTGCGAGGGCTGAAAGGTCAGGAAGCAGAGGAGGACGACCAGAATGAATCGGTGTACGAGGAGATGAAGTACCCAATGCTGGAAGACTTTCTGCAGGACACAAATGCTGCCATCATTGACCCTGAAGCTTGGTCATCCCGCGGCTCACTCTGTGACATTCCTCCACCTTTCCCAAATCTCCTGACTCACCGCCCACCACTGCTCATCTTCCCACCTGCCCCTGCTCAGTGCTCCCCAAACTCAGATGAGTCCCCCCTCACCCCTTTGGACGTCACACGCCTCCCCATGTTAGAAAACGTCTCCTACAGCAAGTCGGGCAGTGTTGAACAGCCGCAGAGCTCCACTCACTACCGCAAAGAACGAGACCGGGACATGCCCTCCACTCATACCATCACATCTTCTGGTCGCTCCTCAGCTCCACCTCTCCCCTCCAGCCTTTACAAGTCATCCAGCACCACACACGGTGGTCACGGTTACCCCCGCAGCCAATCAGCATGCCCATCTCCTGTCAGCATGGGACGCTCGCTAACACCTCTGAGCCTGAAGAGGCCGCCACCGTATGACACCCTGATGGCAGGAGGAAGTATGCCTCGCTCTTCATCTTCATCTTCATCATCTTCACACAGGGCAGGTGAAGGAGGGGCTAAACTCAGTAACTCCTCCTCCACACATGGGTCCATGCAGAACATGTCCGTGAGGTCACAGACTCCAACAAGTCCACTAGACGAACTCAACAACCTGTTTGCATCAGGTAGACAGGTGATGAAGAGGGGATCAGGAGGGAGGAAGAGCAGGGAGGGTGAAGGTAAGAGAGTTGCAGAGTATTGCATCAACACCATATTATACTACCTGATGCACATCAAGGACAAGGTTTGGTTTTTGGGGGTGCTGGGGGACTACAAGTCAGAGCAAGTAAACCTGAGGTCACATTCACAATAATGGCCCAATCCTTTAACAATGCAAACTTTAAACCTTAATACAATTTCAGCAGGTGAGACAAATAACCCTCCACCATGCAGTTGTTATGTAGGGGGGTATTATCCACAGAGACCAAACCAGCTTGTGTGTCTGGCTGTAAACATGTTTGTTTCTGCTGTGAAATTTTAACATGGAAATCTATGGGGACTGACTCACTGCTGGAGCCCCCGCTGGATGTATGAGGAACTGTAAGTTTAAGGATTTGAGCCTTGGCTTAATTTTAGTCCCAGAGGTTGATGACTGGTTGCTATTACCCAATGGTGCTCATCCACACGTCTGAACGAAAAGTATATTAAACAGTTTTACAAGCTGTTGTGTAACACTGATTACACACTGCGGTTTGTTATCTCAAATACAAAGCAAAACCCAGTCAAACTATGTTCATTATACAAATTAAGTTCAGCACGTTGAAGTGTCCAGTTTATCTCCCACTCTAAAACTGTAAAAGACGATAGAAAAACAGTGTTTAGCTTAGTGTTTAGCTTTTGCGTCTTTATTTACACTAACACCCGCCAGCTTTCCTGAATGCCTCCTCAGTCTCTGATGGTCTTTGGGTCACCTGCTGAGAAATATAATAAGTATAATAAATAAATATAAGGACAGCTGAATCTGATAAATTGACTAAGAATAAAAAAAATCACTCATTTGTAGTCAAATATGAGAGAATACTCAAAAAGTTGTCATTACTGCATTCGGTCTCCAGAGAGACTCTCCAGGGAGACTGTGTTGCCATGGTGACAACAGTCAGTTTTTGTTGTTTTTTTTGTTTTGTTTTTTAAATTTATTTATTGTCATTGTCAAGAACAATGAAATTGCGTTTGGGGCTTCCATACAACCCAGTTTACTTCAGCTCAATTAGAATCAAAATTGAACCTTCAGGTTAAGTCCACAAGATATTTTTTTTTCCAGTTTCTCAGATTAACTATAGATAGATATGTCTATATCATTGATTTACAATATTTAAACACCATATACAGTTGTGTATGTGGTTTAACCAATGTGTATACATTTTCACAGTAAAATATGTGAGTACAGCTACTGTTACCCAGATCTGCTGAAATAGTGAATGTATTTAGCCAATTTTACCTTCAACTGCACTGGAAAAACACTGCTAAAACTTTAATTGTCTAATTCTATTGTATTGGGTATGATGGCATTAAATTAACAGAATATATGAACAACAGACAGTGACTATAGTTATTTTCTGCTAACAGTATCTTAATTTTTTACATATTTACAGCACCTAAATCTTCTAATGTACTGGTAGACAACCTACCAATGCATTAGACATTTAGTTAGTTTTATCTGGGTGTACTGATAGCATAGAGTTTTATTTTTTAACAGCTTCCCTTTAAGAAGTACATCTCAGTCTTCTGTACTGCGATATCTCCATGGTGCAGCTAGGGCATCACATATTTCACATTAGAAAAATCACACAGCACACCAGCAAACAAAATGTCACAAAAGACATATTGATAATTTCCCACACACACCAGGCATTGTGGAACTGGCTTGGTTTGTCCACAGTTTACCTTCTTTGCTTTCTTCTGACCACAGCTCATGCTAGGGCCTTCATCTGGGTTGGGGTTTTCTCAAAGACCCAGGTCAGACAGATTACTTTTTCTTTATTTTTTTAAATATTTATCTTTGCTATTAGGCACTGCATTGTTTTACTCACAGCATGAGTATTATGTAATTTCTTCTTCGTCCTCTTCTGTTTTACTGGCAGTTGGCAACCAATTTATTTGGGGAGGTAGTTGCACTGCCCTCTAGTGGAAGTTATATTCTTGGATTTGTTGGATTTAATGGTTTTGATTCTCATTAATGTTTTCTGTTTATGTTATAGTCTTAGTTTATAGTCCTTAGTTTTCTGTTACTTTGCCTTCCCCGTGTTCCACATCTAGTTACTCTTGTCTCTGTGCTCCATGTTCTCCCTGTCTTCTCTGTCTGCCGTGTCTCCTTGTATAGTTGGTGTTTCCATGTCTTATATTTCCTGTTTTACTTTGAAATTCTTGTGTCCTGTGTTTCAGTTTTGCTTCCTCGCCGTTTTGTTCATGGGCTGCATCCTCCTGAGGACCCGGGTCCTCAGAAGGTGGCTGAGGACCCGACCAGCCTACCGTTTACTTCCAGCCTACCGCTGGAAGTAAACGGCTGTGGAATTGGACGGTCTATCTTTCTGATTAGCGTCACCGCTGTCTCGGTGGAGTTTAATAAACTCGGCCGTCTGCTCCTTGCTATCTAAAATATAACAGGACACTGGAGTAAACTCTCGACTGTCTCATACTTCTGTTTAATCAGTTTTCTGTTTGACGTTTATTCAGCTGTGTGAAAACCACTCAAGGGATTAATAAAGTTTTATTTCATCTTACTTTAATCTCAGCCAAACCGATTTACTCACGAACAAATAAAACACTGAAAAAAGCCAAATAATAAAAATTTAGGTTGTCTAAGTGACTTATATATTACGTTTAACCTGAGTAGCGAAAGTCCGCGGTGATCTGAAAATGATGTGCCGGGAGTTGTGCCGTTCTCGGCGGCTTCAGTGACCCTCGAGCTCCCGGCTAGCTATCGAGCTGGTGGGTAACAGACGTCTCCAAAAACGTTGAAGCACTTTTGCAAATAAGTGATATCTTGATAAACCAAGCAGATATTTGAAGTTTACACAGCTACATTTTTCGCCTGAAAATATGTTAAAAGTTTATTTTGTGACCCAGAAAGATTAATAACAGTAATTTTAAAACTTAGTAGCGGCCGCCATTGTTGGAAACTGGAGTTTGGCTGGGCCGCGCTATGAATTCTGGGATATGGTGGGCCATGAAGGACACATCTGACCCATCCTTCAAATTCGGGGAAAAGGAGGACGGCTGCACTCGGAGGAGTCTACGAATTTGGACAGCCTTCGGCGCGTTGCTGTGATGAAATTGGCCTACAAATGCGGCCTCAGGAGGAAGCAGCCCATGAATTTGGATCAGAACCAGATCAGGATCATAGATCTGGAGCAAATCAGTTCTTGTATCAGCTCATCTGGCCAGGATTCACTTTGGATCTGTTTATTGTGGCTTGTTGCCGTTTGTTGTGGTCAGCAGTCCAGAGCTGACAACAACAACAACTACTGAGTATAAGTTAACATTGTACCTTCTAATGTCTGGTTAGAGTGTCTGAAAAATCACACTTTTTCTCTGATAAACAGTTTAATTAAATTCTCACACCTCATGAGAGTTTATTTACAAAGTGTTGGAGCTCCACTTCAAAGAAAGTTTTAATGCCTAATGACAGCTAACAGTGGAAAAAACAGCAGTTACTGTCAAAAAATTCACCTTGTGACATGGACGGTTCTCACTTGGAATATTGAACACTTGATATAACACTGACCGTGAGCAGTACAGCCACTGCGCAGTAGTCCAACACAGTGGTTTACTATGCATTTTCATGCAACATTTGAATAACACAAAATTAATAGTTTCATAATATGAAAATACTAGTGATGTCAGCGTTAATCTCATTAAAATGACGCTAACTCCATAACCACATTAACGTGGCAACACTCTGTTAGCGAGTTAGCGCATTAGCGCCCCGTGTGCCCCATGTGTGGAGTGTGTGTAGATACTCTGTTTTCCAGTGTCTCCAGAAGTGGTCTGCTAGGTGCTGGACTTGCTGCCATTGCTGCTTGTAGAGATCCTTCTCTGTAAACTTCCCCGGTGGAGGTGGTGCGCTTGCCTTTTGTGTAAGGAGCATAGCCGGGCTAGTATTTCAAGTGAGTCTGCATCTGAAGAGACAGGAACTACAGGCCTGGAGTTAATAATAGTTGTTACTTCTGCCATTAAAGTGCGCAGTACTTCGTGTGTGAGATGGGAACAATCTGTGCGCATTAGCATAGAGTCCAGGATCCTCCTTGCAACTCCAATCGTGCATTCCCATGCGCCACCAGAGTGCAGTTGTATTCACCGGCTCCAGATAGCAAAGAAGAAGAATAGACAGTTAATGAAAACATCCATGGACTCAATCACTTCTATGTGAACAGCACGAGTACTTAGACAAGTAAATAGCACTGCCCAGCGCTTATTGTAGGCTAGTCCTCCTTTTGTGCGCCTTCCAACTACATTCCAAGGCCCAAAGACATCCAGGCCTCTGTAAGTAAAGGGGGAAGAACTACTAAGTTGTTCCTCTGGAAATTGCGACATCTTCTAGCTCTCAGTTCTGCCTCGCAGCTTCCGACAAATGACACATCCATGAATAACACTGCCTATGCATCTTTTGCCACCTATCAGCCATATTCCAGCCGCTCGAATCGCACCCTCAGAGAAACTAGCTGTCTGCACAGAGCGAATAATAACACTCCTTGCCTTGGACAACTGTGGCTTTGAACACTGATGCCATCCTTTGCATTCCTTAGCAATTTGGGTCATGGACTGAGCAACATGAATAAGTGTGGCAACTGGTCATTGCAAAGAGTTCCATGAAAAAAAATTCTCAAACCTTTCTGGAGCGAGTTTCTTTTCCTCTTTCTTACTGGCACAGCAAGTGACTCGTGGCCGGATCGCTTTATCTGAGTCTGGTTCAACAACACTGAAGATGTCTTGCTTTTGTATTGTTCATACAAGATTGCTGGTCCAGACAGCTGGTTCGTATTAGTAAGCTGAGAGGCTTGGATTGATCTTGACGCATGATCTGCTGGATTATGTTCTGTGGGCACATATCGCCTGTCATGTCTGCAGTGGCAGACGAGTGGAGGTTGAAAGTAGGACCCAAGATGCAGGAAGTGTCAGATACAGGTGAACTTTATTAAACCGGTAAGTAAAACAAACAAAAACGTAGCAGGCAAGAAAC